TTTTAATGTGCCTGACTGAAATGCTTTTATTTTTTTTTTGTTGAGATTTTGGTCTTGTCTTGGATTTTGAACACTGCACTGTGTCTTTTAGTGGCCTGGTTTTACAAACTTTACAAATGTCTGCTTTAGCTGGAATTGCAATCGAAGCCATTTGCCCCAGACATATTCTTTTAGTTTGTTTTAATGCAGCTGGAGATACACAAATATTAAAGAATAAAAAATACAGCCTTTTATAGAACCAAAAAAAGAGTTCAGTTTTTATGAAACCAGTGTCACTAATGTAATGAATCTGGGATCATGTGAATAACAGTGTGTGAAATGTCATATTAATCTAATTTTTACAGAGGCTTTGTGCTGTATTTTCTTTGTACCCTTGTGTGTGTATCAGACAGAGAAGTTCACATTTAAGGTAAGAAAATTAATATATTTCTAAACATGTTCAATTGTATGACAATTAACAACACAATTATACACAACAATACAATGTTAAACAAGAATTCATATTTACAACAATTTGAAAAATATAACAGAAGATGGGATTTCATTAAAAAAACAAAAACAAATTGGCACTTATAACATTTGGCCACAATGACAAAGTTAACTTACTAGACAAATCTCGTTTTCGAATCAAGTCAGAACAATTTATATCTGTAAACATTATATCCCACCAGTCAATTCATTTATCATTAACAGTCTCGCTCTATTTCTAATTATAAAAATAGAACACTTAGTAAATTAGAAACATTTAAATCCATGCACATTTTAGTTCCTAAATATGCAATACAAAATTAACCATATTTTTGTTTGTTTTTCTATCCAGAAGTAAATGGGTAAGGAAATATAAACTAGATACCAAATATATCTTTTCTGAAAAACAATAACACAAAATTTAACAGTGTTTGTTTTAGGGATGTTTTTACTTAAACATTATTTCAGTTATTTAAGAACAATGTGAACTCTTCTACAGTATGTTCTTATGGACAGAATCTCAGAGGACTTTTTTTAATAGCAAATATCTAAGGGCCTGTTTCCACTGAGTGGTTTGCATGCTTTTATGGCTTCCACTGTCAAAACGTACCTAACAGCGAATCATACCATACCACTTATCAAATGAGTAGGGCCAGACGGAATCTGCAGGCATTTTTTGCTAATTCAGTAGAGAATTTTGTTAAAAATCTATTTTTTCGATTTATGCAGAATGATTTTGTAAGAATCATAACTAAAAACTTTAATATGTGAAATAAAACATTTTAAACTTTTATTTAATGTTTACAATGCAAATCCAATTAGAGTCACTTTATTTGGTAAACAAAACCAGTCTCTTATTTATTATATCTACTAAAAGACAGAAAATATTACTTTACAAACTGTTTTGTAAATTTATCATGTGAATATTTTCATATTATTCAGTAATTTTACTGAAATTAATTAAAAAACTGAATAAATACAAATTTACTCTAGTAAATAAACAAAATCAATGATGAGCTAAAAATCTGTGGAATTCTGTGCAGATTCTGTGTGGGGCTACCAATGGGTACCTAGCACAACAAAAGGGTACCAAAAGGTGGAGCAAAATGCGCAGCTGATTGCTATTAGTTTACAGAGATATGTCACTAGTGCGTACACAAGCCAGGGGAATGAAAACTAAGGAAGCGCCATTTTTAAATACACATCGGAGACATTACACTGTAATAATATGTACATATAATAATGAGCCATGGTCAACCTGAGCTCAAACAAACCTTGTCGTCATCTTGATGAACAGCCACAAAGCCAAAAAGAACAAAACCTGCCATGCTCAGTTTTTGAGGCCGTCTTAAAGCACGAGCGGTTTCACTTTTTCAATAGAGCTCGCGTGCACTTCTAAATTTGAAATAAACTTCTTGAGCTGATTAAAATAACGTCTGCGAGACTAAATGCATGCCGTGTGTAGTTTTTCGGTAATTGAAAACATATTGGAGACTGTAAGGGTCTGTATGTGTTCATATATGTTGCATTTATTTATTTATTTTATATAATTACAGACTTTAGAGTCAGCTATTTTGCACTAAAATCATTGATCTGAAGTTATAAATCAAATCATATCATAGAAAGGTTAGTAATGAACATTTACACATTTTATGTGTATAAAGCATCTATTTGAGAAGTGCTTTTTATATGATATGTGAACAACCCTTACAGCTTTACTTTAAACATTTCCTAGAGCAAGAATGATGTAGACTAAAACTTTCTGTTGTACACCACGCCCACCATAAGGGTACGATTGGTACCCTTTTGGCAGTGGAAACATAAGCCTGATAAAGGTATCGTACCGTACCTCTCAGTGAAAACTGGCCATAAAGTACATCATCGTCATTTCCATATACTGAATAGTAAGACTAAAAGTGGGAATGATACACAGTGTTTTTCTGTAACTGCCATTGTTTTCAAGAGAGTCCCCCCAAACACATGTACTTGATTTCCAGATACTCATCAACGCCATATATGGATCCTTCTCTGCCCAATCCGGACTGTTTGATTCCTCCAAAAGGGGCTTCGGTGGTGGAGATCATGCCTTGGTTGACCCCGACCATCCCCACCTCCATCTGCTCTGCCACCCGCCAGATCTGAGCCATGTCCCTGGAGTAAAAGTAACCTGGACAAACAAAACGAATGAGAAAAGGCAACTAGCTGTATTCATTTACTTTACTTGCAGCCCTCTAATGGGGTGAATTCAATGAGGCTGAAGGGGAATGTGATATTTCTGGCCCTCCAAAAATATCATAATTCTTTCTATAAAATGGAGCAATATAATTTTTAGAAATTTGTCAAATTTGTTTAGACTAGGGCTGCACATTATAGTGAAAATTTGTTATTGGGATAGTGGTATATGCAATATCTCTATCGGAGCGGTAATTTTAATTTACTGTGTGTGCTACTTGTGTGTTGCATGTGTAGGTAGTTTACCCAAGTCTAAACAATCAGATGTGACCTGGCTATCTTTATACCCGCCTCTCCAGTAGGTGCTTTTTTACTATTGGCTAGAGTGGTGCAAAATGAACCTAGATCCTCAGAGCAGAGAGCTGAAAGTACATACTAATAACAGGAGTTAGGCCAAGGGAGGTTTCAGTGATTTATAGTGTTTTAAAATCTAAATGTTAGCACTTTGACAGTTTATTTGATTTTGTTTTTTAGATTTAATTAGATCTGAAAAATATCTATTTTTGTATGAGTAATAGCTAATAAAAATAGCATTTCTCAAGGGCAGAGATGCCCAAACTAGGGCCCACAGGCCAAAGTTGGCCCATAGTAACCTCTGCTTTAGCCTGCCATCCCATCTGAGAAGAGAGGGAGAATGATGGGGATGCTTTAGAGATTGTCATTTTAAATTTAATGTAACCTTTTATTTGTTTGTTTTAATGTTAAGCTACAAAAAAGCAAACTGAAGTTAAACATTTAAACTTTAATGGTGTCAATTAATCAGATTTAATTTAAAATGTAAGGCAGATTCTGCTTGACTAGTGTATTCACCATTGAATTCCACTGTGCTATAAATGTGACTGCCTATGTTTTTATTGCAATAATTATAATTTAAAAAGATAATGCATTAGGAGTTAGGATTCAAAGTAATGTTTACTGTTTATTTTTAAATATTAGGAAATTAATCATGGCAACTTTAAATGTAAAATAGTTTGGTATGTTCATCTTCAGCCCACAGCTAGTGTATCAATGATATTTGTTTTTTGGCCCTTCATACGAAAAAGTTTGGGCACCCCTGATCTGGGGAAATGTTAAAATCACAAGACATATAATTATTGTAATATTCAACAACAACTGCATATTTTCCCAGTATTGTGCAGCCCTAGTTTTGACAATGTGTTTTGAATAGAATAGCTTTAAATGAATGATAAAGGGCACACCAAATCTGCATTCGTGCAAAACTACTTTGATGTTTTTATTATTATTTAATATAATAAAATATTTAAAAAATATTACATAAATATTGTTATTTTTTTATTATTACTATATATAATACTTTTATATTCTACACCATCTATATAATGATTGGTTAATTTGCCAAATTGTGATTAACGATCTAAATTCTAATGTTATCAATTGTGTGACTTTCAATCAGTTGCTAATTGTCTTACAGTAGCATGTTCGGTAAAAAATAAACAGACAACAAAAACAATTGCAACAAAAACTTGAAAAAAAAAAAAAAACATCTTACAAAAACATGATTTATTTGCACAGATGGACAAACCTGCTAAACCAACAGGAGAAGCATTGGCAATGGCAAGTGCCTCCTGTTCTGTGTTGAACCTGGCGAAGAAAAGAAACAAACGAAAAAACGTCAGCAGCTGGCAGAATCAATAAGATGAAATGTTACCCATTAATAATATTATACTAAAATAAACATCATGCTCTTTGTCATGTTGACCTTTAAGGTGCGCAATGAGATTAGCAATGTTAATTTTTTTAGCCTAAGTTCCAGCTCTAAAAAATAAAAAATTATTAGTTCATAGCTGAATGCAGTTGTTGTCTTTGTCCCCCAATTCAATGTATTTTCTTGCCATTTGATTTGCAGGATATATTTGGCCATGTATAACCTGTGATGCTTATATTTTTTATTATTCTGAGACTAAATAAAGACTCTGTACAACTGGGTTATACATAAAGCAGCTACAACACATGATGAGGTAAATGACAGCAGCTAAAAGGCATACAGATGCAATGCAACCTCTGTTTATACAGTTTATTAGTGCGACTCACACGAGTGATGGATTCTCTTTGGTAACAACCATTGTATATCTATATATAGTATATATTTTAAGCTGCTGTGATGCAAGTAGGTCGATTGCACCTATTTAGTGTCTCATCAAACTGTGTGACCCCTCGCAGAAGCTCCATGAGTCTTCCGCATATTCATACCAGCTTTGTGACAATTAAAATACCCCACAAATCATGCTGAAGAAAATGAACGAGCAAGAGAACAGAATGCAAGAGACATGTGTAAGGGATAATATTCAACATCCTTCATTTATTCTCTAGGAGATCTCCACTTAAATATCATACTTAGAGGAAAATTGTGCTTTGTGCATTATACAGCTTAAAGCACCAGAATCCGTACACAATATCAGCCGATCACCATGACAAGGAATCGGTACTTAGTATTGGCAATAAAAATGCTGATCAGAGCATCCCTAATGTGACTGTAAAGTACAAAATTCAATTCGAGTAAACGCACTGGATGAAAACAGTAGCAAATTATTTACGCAAAATGACATTTTCTTATACAAGTTACATCTGCAACTTTGGGTAGAAACATCTAAAAGCTACATAATAATATTGTGAAGTTATATAACTTAAAAAAAAACACTCACTTAACAACTGGAATAAGAGGTCCAAAGGTCTCCTCTCTCATGCAGAGCATGTCAGAGGTAACGTTGGACAGCAGCGTCGGCTCCATGAAAGAGCCCTGCAGTCTCTTTCCACCTCGAACTACGACCGCTCCATGATCCACAGCGTCTGCAACCTGCTTCTCCACCTGAAACAAACACCACCATTAAACTCAGCAGCTCAATATCCCTGAGAGTGGCAGAATATTTTACTCCTCCGTCTGATCTGAAACCCATTCATTTGTGTACATATACAGAAAAAGGTGGAATGACACAACTAGACCATTTTAAGGGATGTAAACAATATCAATGGTCCTAATGTATTTCCTGTATTCAATATTTAATTTCCAAAGCTTCCAAAAATCCAAAAAGGTGCACATATCGATAAATAATATTATGGCAGCCATTTTAACATTAAGATACGATTAAATTGCATCTCGTCACAGTTATGAAATAATTTAGCAACAAGCAGGTAATGTCCATGGGCCAGTGACATCACCACATTGAAATGTTGTGTAAATGAAAAACTGCAAGAGATAAACCCAAGCATATGATTTTTGATGATGACGATTTTCAAATTGTAGTTTTGAGACTATGACCAAACCAATTACACTAGATGGCTGAATTGGTCACTCTAGGATATCGCATTTATGTTTATTGAATGACGCACCATTAATATCATTCGTTACAATGTGAAATTTTAAAGAGTATTTGAAAAGATTTTCAGGTAAAACTTTATTTTGATGCATTTGAGTATTAGTAGACTGTCTGCTTAATATCTGTTCAACAGACATTTAACTTACACTAACCCTAACCCAAACCTAACAGTCTACTTATAATCTAATAAGAATTAGTTGCAATGTAACAAATTTAATAAACGGACCATCAAAATAAGGTGTGACCGATTTTTTTTATAACGCAGGCACTCTGATGGATGTTTTTTTTTTTTTTAATGTACCCAGGAGGAAATTTAAGCTATTTATCATATATCGAACTGAAAATTCATATCTTTATTGCTCATTATTATTTTTGCATCAAATTATGAAGTTTTATTATGTATTTATGTAATGTTTTATCTGTATCAAAGAACTTGCCATGAAATAGTCATAAGTTGCTGAAGTGGCAATAAATAAACTAACAAACAGACAAAAACTCACTGGCTCAACCAAATTTCCAATATAAATTTAAACCAGAATTTATGCAGGCAGCCTCAACATTTGTTACAGATTGGAAAAACGGAACACAGAATTAAACTGTCAGAACAAATTCATCTTCATAACGTGAGATGACTAGATCATGTCAGATCAAAAGGTACAGAGATTACAATCATCCAAAACTAACTGACGACTGTTGTGTATTTATTTATTTCTTTATGTTTTAATGCCATATCAGCAGCATTGGCTTTATTCATCGCAACACTTGAACTAATTATACTAATATATTGCATTTAATATATAATTTACAATCAAAACTGTTTCTTAATCAATTAATTCATTGCACAATAAATAATTGATTAATTAAAAAATAAATGATTAATTAATAATAAAAGCGGCGACGCAGTGGTGCAGTAAGTAGTGCTGTCGCCTCACAGCAAGAGGGTCATAGGTTCGAGCCTTGACTCAGTTGGCGTTTCTGTGTGGAGTTTGCATGTTCTCCCTGCGTTCGTGTGGGTTTTCCTCCGGGTACTCCGGTTTCCCCCACAGTCCAAAGTCCATAGTGTATGAGTGTGTGTGAGAATCCCAGAGATGGGTTGCAGCAGGAAGGGCATCCGCTGCGTAAAAATGTGCTGGATAACTTGGGGTTCAATCAGCTGTGGCGACCCCGGATTAATTAAGGGACTAAGCCGACAAGAAAGATGAATGAATGAATTAATAATAATAAAAAACAACACAGATAAAAAGGCATAGAAATTGTTTGTTTGATTGATAACAATTCTAAAATTCCTCCAATTTTTCCCCTTAAAACATTTCCTAAATAAAAATGTTCTCTACTATAATTTATATATACATTCTATTCAAATGTTTTATCGTCAAATATTCTTACACAAATCACACATTTTTTCCCCCCCTTTCAATAAATATGCGTGTGCAAGTCTTGTACTGCCTGATCGTGTCTATTTTTTAAAACAGTACATTTTTTTCATTTACAAATTGATTCCAACTGTTAGTAAAACAATTTTACACAACTATCAATACTTTGCTGGTTCAACCTCAATCTCAATGATTCTCCTGTGCTGCCGGAAAATTTTTTAAATAAAATTTGTCACTGTTTACTTTTATTTTGCCATCCACTCTTACATAAATAAACTATAGTTTTCTGCACCCAATAGTAAAAAAAAAAAAAAATCATATTTAATCAGATGTCTAAGTCGTGTGTTTGGCCTGTATGCTTGTGTTGCAGAGTGACTTGAATGTTTGCATCCAACAGAATCATAAGTTGCTGTATCTGTTGTTCCCATGATGCACCTTTTCTGCGGCGCGCGAGTTGATGAGAGGCCCCTGTGTGGTGCTGGGCTCGGATCCGTGGCCAAGCTTCAGCTCTGCATCCATAGTCTTCGCCAGCTTCTCCACGAAAGCATCATGAATGCCAGTCTGGACCAAAAAGCGGTTGGAGCACACACAGGTCTACAGAAAAGATGCATTACAGGTGAGAAATGAAGTGGAGATGCTTATGGTTATAATAATGCAATATACCTTCAGGTACTTGCCTTGTTACAGAAACATGATGAGTACTTGCAAGTTCAATATATCATATATTAAAGGGATCATTTTACCTCTCAAAAAGCTGTATATAATTACCATTTACTTGGTTCCAAACCTGTTAGTTTTTTATTTTTTATTTTTTATTTTTCTGTTGAACACTATAAAAGATATTTCGAAGCATGTTAGAAACTGGTAGTGATTAATTAAAACAGGAAAAAATAAATACTATGGATTAGGGCTTGGCCGATAAACAATATTACATCGCTTAGCAATAAAATTTATGTGAATAACAATGATAAGCTCTGGACTTTATTAATCTAAGAGCCAATCACACAGCGGAAATGTGCAAAAATGGAAATTTAGAAGTGTTGAGGTTAGAAATAGATCAGCCACCGAAATTAGGTTATGCTATTTAAAGAACCCTCTAACTTGTGGCTTCAGTCATTGTTGGGGTAATCTTAAATCTGGAAGAATTAACAACTGATATTGAAATGTATATTGTTGTTGTTCAATATGGAAAAGAATTAATAGAGATTGCATTTTTGCCATATCGCCCAGCCCTACTATAGAAGTCAATGGCTACTGATTTTTAACATTCTTCAAAATATCTTAATTTTCATTTAAGAGAAAGAATAAATAATCCAGTAATTGGTGGTTCATTCCACTGTGGCGACCCCTGATTAATCAGGGATTAAGCTGAAGGATAGAATGAATTAACTGTTTTTTTCAAATGAAGGTTAAGTAAATGGTCATAGATATACACTAGATATCGCATAGGGACCCTGAGCATGCGTCAATAGCCACATTGGTACAGTGCTCCCAGGACAAATGTCATTCAACCGCACTAGTCAAGACTGTGCTTTATTTTCTTTTTTTGCTCGTTACTACACCCGTAGACAGCGCTAAAGTCCCGCATCTTCACTTAATAACACTAAGGCAGAACATTTCATAGGTAATATTAAGTTTTTTTCTGTTTTTGTATGTTCTGAACTTTTGTGCTAATCAGGTAACGTTATTGATGAAAACAGTCACTTTCTGCATTCACCATAAGGCAAAGCAGCTCCAACTTGCACTAAACACTTGGCTTATGCTAGTTTTGTTGAATAAAGCCGACATTATATAAAATTATATCATATAAAAATTTTATTAACTACCACATAATTAAATATAAATGCCTTTTGGGGTTAACTTATTAATTTAAACTATAATATAATTTATAATAAAATATACTAATGTAATTTAAAATGAACATGCTGTTACACTAATTTAATTATTTATCATGTCAGTAAAATTATTATTTAGTATAAAGTTAAAAAAAATACACTACTTCAATTAATTAAAAACAAATTTATTAACATTTAAATTTGTGGTGAATTATTATCAGATAAATAAATAATCTGTTACCTAATGTTTCAGCAATTTTTTGAAATAAATTCCAAGCATAAATAAATAAGCAATGGTGCAAGATTGAAACAGCACTTACTTGTCCTGAGTTTCTGAATTTTGAGCCCATGGCTCCTGCAACAGCTTTATCTACATCAGCGCTGTCAAACACAATAAAGGGAGCATGTCCTCCCAATTCCATGGAGACCCTTTTCACAGTTCCTGCAGCATGTCTTAATAAAACCTGCATATAAAATGTTTGCTTAAATTATTAGCAAATTATTCATTATAACAGTGAAAAAAGTGAACAATGTTGACTGCACATAGCAGCCTATTGTCCAGAGTGGATGTTTACCTTGCCAGTGGCTGTGGAGCCGGTGAATGAGATTTTGGCTACTAGAGGGTCTGTGCAGAGCAGCTCTCCCACAGCGGGCGTCTTCTCTCTTGAACAGGGCACCACGTTAAACACCCCAGCAGGAATGCCAGCCTGAACCGACAGCTGCAGAGGAAGACAACATTCAGAAATTTGGAGTCAGTATTTTTTTTTTGAGTAGTCTTTATGCTCACCAAAATAATGTCTTAAAATAGAAATTAAGTTATCTCTAGCTGAACTGCTGAATCAATGTCACGTATCAAAAATTATTCTGATTTGTTGATTTTTATGAAACGGGTAAATTGTTGTTTTGCTCAACACTGTGTTCTATTCAGACATTTTTAACAATTGTTTAATTATAATGAAAGCTTGGACAACAGTATCCAGACCTTGACAGCAATAATCTCATGTACCCATAATGTTTTTTTAATGTAAAAATATTTGACATACGTTTAAACAACCTTCATCTTTTTAGCTACAGTTGATAAATTATATAAGATCTTAAAATGAGTTAAAGGTAAACTTAGGGCTGCACAATATGGCGTTTCAGCATCGATATCGCAATGTAAAAGTCCGCAATAGCCACATCACAAGGATCTGCAATGTAGTTGGAACTTACCTTACAGTTAACATAGTGAAGTAATTTCACATTTTAACCTTAGAGTGAAAGTTTATTATTTGAATGTGTTTCAAGACCTGAATGTATGAATTTAAAGCCATTTGGGCAAAATAAATGAAACTAATTAAGTTTGTGGCTTAAAGGTTAATTGTACATTATATAATTATTCACTCAATTAAAATGATGCAGTGTTTTTTTTTAAATTATACATGGTGATTATTTAATTTCTGCTTCTGAACATTGCTCGACTCCCCAGAAAACCATAAGTTGTTTATTTGCATCTTTTCTCTGTTGCATTTAAAGGTGCTGTATGAAAGTTTTTGAATCTTCTAAAGCAGAGGTTCTCAAAGTGGGGGTCGGGACCCCCTGAGGAGTCGCGGGACAATGAAGGGGGGGGGGGTCGCCTGGTGATTTTCAAAAATCAATTAATTTTTATTAAACCTTAAGACTTACTGTATTTTATCAATAACCTACTGATGAGAAAAAAATAGTCGTTTATGGTTACTATAAACTATATAGTTACTATAGTAGCTTATAGTTACTAGTTCTGTTGGATTGCGACTTCTCGGGTAATTACATTATACTAAAGACACAGCAATACTGTCAGATGCAGCAGATTTTGTAACACCAGGTTAAACTTTCTAGCCCATTTACAGCACTGACATACATAAAAAAAATACAAAGAATAGACTTGGGTCCATTGGTGTGTGTGCGTCATTGCATACAAGGTTTCTGTATTTATAACCACCACCTCAGAGAATATTGGGGGTCACGAGTCACTGGCATTCTCATTTTGGGGGTCGCGGGCTGAAAAGTTTTGGAACCCCTGTTCTAAAGAATACAAATGCCATAATATGTTTGCAGAGATTTAAGGAAACATGCTAAGTGAACATTCTTGTTTATCTGAAAAATAATGCTGAAGTCAGATATTCTGCTTGAAATGTGTTTTCTGTGCCAGAATGCTGTCTTTGTTTTGGTTCTTTTAACCCACCTAGATCTGAGGTGAACTATCTGCTGCTGCTTTTAGTAGTATGACAGTAAATGTCATGTAAATGGAATTTAAACTCACGTTATTAGCATTTAACTCTGATTAAAGCACATGAGGCATAACTGAGGTGATCATGGTCAAAGTTTTCTGTTGTTTACCTATGAGAGCCGTTTCTAATATATCAATTCGAGGTGATGGTTCGGACAAAAACTCCTTTTAATATGGAAAATATTTCTTCTATATGGTGCCGTTGCTTTTATTTAGAACATGTTTTAAAATCAGCCTTTAGGCTCGATGGTTAGACTTACTCCTGTTAGTCATCTGGCAACCTGCACTATTGGGGGGTTTGTTTTGATCCAGGAATGCAATCCACTGGGTGTCAAACTTGCATAATGCGCCTTTAACTTTGCTTGTCATTTTTCTAAATGATAGATTATGGAGATCGATCTACAATTATGAATTATTTACTATTCTAGCTATTCAAGTCATCTGCTGAAATTGCATTTGTCACAATGTATATCGCAATGAATGAAAATAACGCAATGTCAGTATTTTTTTTTTTCCAATTACGTGCTGCCCTTGGTGAACTATCCCTTCAAGTAGGATTCAATGGGTACAGACTGACCTCAGCGAGGGCCAGTGCAGAGAGAGGCGTATCTTCAGCCGGCTTCACCACTACAGTACAGCCCACTGCAAGTGCAGCCCCAACCTTCCTGGTTATCATGGCGCTTGGGAAATTCCACTGTAAAGAGGGTAAACTTCACTGAAAGCTGACAGTATTAAAGAGGTAATGAAATGGGAATTCAAAGTTGCCCTTAGTGTGAAATGTAAGAGATCTTTACTCTGTTAAAAATATCCCGCAAGTCTAATGCCTAAAACATCCTCCTCATGATAAACAAACCACCAATAATTAAGCAGTAAAGGGGCTCATTGGGGACTTTGTAATAATAGATTTATTTTACTTAAACATTATAAGTGAGCCTCAAGGAGCCCACTAAAAAAAATGTAATCCATATCCATGACACTCTTCATGAAATCTCACAGATGCTAAAGCATGAAGATGTTGTTATTAAAACAAATAAGGCATTCTCACAGGTGTAATGATGGAAGCCACTCCAACTGGCTGCTTGAGGATCAGGATCTTGCGGTCTTTGGCTGGAGCCGCGACGATGTCTCCATACACACGCCTGGCCTCTTCAGAAAACCACTCCAGAAAAGAGGCAGAGTACGTCATTTCACCAAGAGACTCCTTCATGGGCTTCCCCTGCACACACGTACAGTGTCTCTTAATATCTTGATGCTTGTAAATGGGTAAGTGAAGTGGTTGTAATCGGGCAGTGTACTTACACATTCTGCTGTGATCAACTTGGCAAGATCTTCCCTGTGCTGAATGATCAGATCAAACCATTTTCTCAGCAAAATACTTCTTTCCTGCAAAGAGCATACAACTTTCAATCATGATGAATAAAGTTCAAATTTAAATACATGCATAATTGTATTTGTTAAAATTATGGTAAAAAAAATAAACAGTAATATAGTATATTTATTAGAATATTTTACTAACATAGAAGAGTAACAGGATATTTTATAATTCTATGATGCTGATTTGGTTGCTCAAGAACTGTTTTACTGCTTATTTTATGGACAGAAAAAAATGTTTAAAATGTTTTTTCACAATAAGATACTTAAAATTATATTTGAGGAATGTATAATTCTTAAATATTTTATGTAGTTTTAATGTTTTCATATATTTTTTAAATATTAATATTATAATTACATTTTTCCCTTTCAAAACTGGGAAAACGTGCTTTGCTATAAATATGCTTTGCATTAAAAGTGGCTTTACTCAACATAATGGATGAATTAATGGAATTTATCAGGTTGCAGATGTTTGTTTTTCAGATTTCCGAGTACCATAGTTAAATAAATACCACGCTAAGTTATATATTAAAGCATAAAGAAACTACAATATAACACCAGATCGTTTTGGCATTTTAAAATAATACGTACCTTGGTACTTTCTTGTAAACAATTATGTGTCAAATGCAGTTTTGCATATTAGTAACGTGTCCATAAGCAGCTCACCTTGGCTGTGTGGTTCTTCCACAGGTAAAAGGCTTTGTGCGCGGCGTTGACAGCGTCTTGAGCCTCTTTTGTACCGCAGTCCGAGACTTTGGCGATCTCCTCTCCGGTGGCTGGATCAAAGACGGGGAAGGAGGAGGCCGCGGACACCCAGCGCCCGTCTATGAAGCCTTCAGTCCGCAGGAGCGACGCGGACACATCGAGGCTGTACGGCCGCTGCAACTGCACCATGCTTGGTAAGCCAGTTAACACCTGCCGGAGGACACACCGACCTCTTGAGAGACATAAACTGGCCATGATAAACAATGACACACTCCTATATCTATAAATATATAGATATGTATGTGCAGGAGGAGCTTAGTCCAGTGAAAGAACGAGAGCAGTCGCTCTTAACATGCGATTTTAAACTCGTTTGTAGCAATTACATTCTCCTCTCGACTGTTTATGTATGCGAGAGAAGATTCTCGGTTATTAATTTCCGCTAAACACGTAGTTCTTTCGACTGCTTATGCATGCAACTCTGCGTTTCACTCACTGCAAACTGCAAAGCAGGAAATGTCAACACTCTAGTGTTGATTGGCGACGTTAGCGGCGTCCGATTCATGAATGAATCACTTTTGAACCGAATCGTTTGAGTGAACTGAGTCAGTCAGGGGAGAAACCATAGGGAGAAACGAGAATCGCCCCCAAACGGCACACTCCGGATTCACGAATTCTGTCCTCTGATCACGTGATGTAGTGTATACTCAGTGCACCCTGGTGGAACTCGAGTCCCAAAAATAGTTAAATAAAACGGGTCCTGGACCCCCGTTGATCTCATCCTGCAAGAATGTTGCAGACGCATAGGGCATTAGAATATATTGACTGTAATATAATAATGCCTAGGTACAGGCCTACTGCATATTCGTTTTTATGATGTTTTTTTCTCGATTTATATAAAACTAATTTCACAATATTCCTAAAACCTATAAATATAGGTGATATATACCATATCACTGCTTCTTGTGCTGTTTTGGAAAAATTGTGAAATTAGTTTTAGTGTGTATGCATCAATTCATACGGAACCCCGGAAGGGACGTAGTGGAGGAGAAAAAAAATGGGTGGGTGAAAAAAAAAAAAATGGGTGAAAGAAAAAAAATGGGTGGGAGGAAAATATATATTTCTAAGTTTTTTGCGTTCTCTCGCAAAGTTTTGCGTTCACTCGCAAAGATGTTTTGCGTTCCCTCGCAAAGATGTTTTGCGTTCCCTCGCAAAGATGTTTTGCGTTCCCTCGCAAAGATGTTTTGCGTTATCTCGCAAAGATGTTTTGCGTTCCCTCGCAAAGATGTTTTGCGTTATCTCGCAAAGATGTTTTGCGTTATCTCGCAAAGATGTTTTGCGTTATCTCGCAAAGATGTTTTGCGTTCCCTCGCAAAACTGTTTCTCCACAAACACTTCCTGTTCACTGCACTCACGTAAACCCTCCCGTTTTTGCTGAAATTCTCCCATATTTTACCATTCTATCCCACTTTCTTTACATTACTGTGCGCTGATTGTCGCCTTTCACTTTGCAACCTCTGAACCAGTGAATGCATGTTTAAGCGCTGACTGACAGACGCGCTTCGTACAATAAACTGATCCCAGATCAGCGTCTGTACGCGCCATTTAAAGGGACACTTCTGTTATCAAACAAGTGCGCAGCAAATGAATCTCATGTTTTGTTTAGTTTGATAACAGAGGTGTCTCTGTAAGAATGCACAGATCTATAATGAAAGCAGTCCATTACTTTAAAAACTTCATATTATTCAGTGTATTTGTCTGTTTAAACATAAACCCGCTCCTCTGTAAATGGCGTGTACAGACGCTGATCTGGGATCAGTTTATTGTACGAAGCGCGTCTGTCAGTCAGCGCTTATACATGCATTCACTGGTTCATAGGTAGCATACGCACAGAAATGTAAAGAAAGTGGGGTAGAATGGTAAAATACGGGAGAATTTCGGCAAAAACGGGAGGGTTTACGTGAGTGCAGTGAACAGGAAGTGTTTGTGGAGAAACAGTTTTGCGAGAGAACGCAAAACAACTTTGCGAGGGAACGCAAAACATCTTTGCGAGATAACGCAAAACATCTTTGCGAGGGAACGCAAAAAACTTAGAAATATATATTTTCCTCCCACCCATTTTTTTTTCTTTCACCCATTATTTTTTTTTCACCCACCCATTTTTTTTCTCCCCCTACGTCCCTTCCGGGGTTCCGTAAATTCAAGACCGGTTAGGACTGATGCATGACAGAGACATTTGGCGCCATCGTCCGGTATTTTCAAAATTTACCCAATAGAGCTATGGGGGGAAACAATAATAACCACTTACATTTTTTGTTTCTCTGGATGTACTGGATTTACTGAAACAGATGGAAAAATAATAATATTCACGAGTATAGAACACTAAATTTGGCCCATATTGACACACATGTGCAGGGTGCTGTAGCCTCACAGCAAGAAGGTCACTAGTTTGAGCCTCAGCTGGTTCAGTTGGCATTTCTGTGTGGTGCTGTCTGTGCTCCGGTTTCCTCCACAAGTCCAGACACATGCGCTATAGGTGAATTGGATAGGCTATAAATTGTCTGTAGAGTATGTGTGTAAATGAGTGTATGGGTTGCGTCTGGAAGGGCATCTGCTGTGTAAAACATATGCTGGACAAGTTGGCAGTTCATTCTGCTGCGACGACCCCTGATTAATAAAGGGACTAAGCCAAAAAGAAAATGAATGCATGAATGAATGGACACAAAATTTAAAAATGATTTAACAATTTTGTTTGAAAGTATATTTCTTAACTAAGTTGACATAAATAGCACAACATTTCATTACAAAAACCCAACTAAATTTCACATTGTCAGCTGAGCACTCACTCACTCACTCACTCACTCACTCACTCACTCACTCACTCACTCACTCACTCACTCACTCACTCACTCACTCACTCACTCACTATCCCTTGACTAAGTCCCTGATTTAACAGGTGTTGTCACTGCAAAACTGCCCATTCAGTTTTCTATAATTGATGCATGAAAGTTAAAGAATATCAGATAGTAATTCAGAAAAATGTACTACAACTGCTCTACATGCAGCTACACTTCTGGGCTTAGTGGGTCTCCTGTTGCAGCTCTATCTCTGGGCTCAGTGGGTCTTGTGGTGCAGCTCCACTTCTGGGCTCAGTGAGTCTCCTATTGCTGCTCCACCAGTGAGCCCAAGGCAATATGTTAAAATTTAAATCTGAAAATAATTGAGGAACGATTAGATTTTCTGAGGCACACTTAGATTCTCTTTTCTGGCTATCCTAGTCATTTTTACAATTATGATAAAAAATTGGTGAAGTATATGTAGTTCACTATTGTAATGAGTGAAGGAAAAAGAAAACCTTGAATTGAAATCAATCGATCACTCTGATCTTCAGTGACTTATTGAAATCCTTCAAAAGATATGTCATTGATGTAAAACATTTTAAAAACCCATATTTGTGAAACTGAAAAGGCTGGACATATCTAGAACAACTAAAGTTTGAATAAAAGACAGAATTCCAAACCAAGAATTGAAAATATTTCCTTATCCAAGTATTAGTTTTAGTTTATTTAAAATTTTGTAGACATCAAACAACAGTACAGTCAAATTGCATTACGAGTCTGATTCTGTAACCTGCTATTATATCTAGTCTATTTTTTTGAAAAAAGTTAAATTGTTTTATATTGCATTAAAACATTTATCAAATGTATCAACATGAATAACTAGAGCTTTCATTTATTGCATGCTGTAAAGAAATTAATTTTAACTGGAATTTCAGATGTTGGTATATAACTGATTTAACATGAACAAATGAAGTTATAATACTGTAAGTAACCATCAGCATTGATTGTTTTCCATGTTTTTTACAAGTTTCTATTAATTGTGCATGTATTACTACTGTTATTGTTCCTAAAATGTTTATATATATATATATATATATATATATATATATATATATATATATTATAATTTTTTAAATAAACAGAATTTTGTTAAAAATTAAGTGGTTTTAAAGTTTACCATCACAAATATAGAATCGATTTTTTGTTTATATGGATAATGTTTTACATAATTCTTGCAAGGATGACCATCAAAGTAATTATTACACAAGTGTTGTTATGCTTGTGACTGCAGTTGCTCAACATGCAGCTTTAACTCTGGGCGCAGTGGGTTTCCTAGTGCTGCTCCACCAGTGAGTCCAAGCCTAGAATTTAAATTAATAGAAAAATCTGTCAATAAATGTGGCACAGCCAGTTTTTCTGAGGAACAAATAGATCATCTGACTATGCTATGAATTTTTGCAATTATAATGTATAAAATGTTTGGAGTTTTTTATGTGGTTCACTATTATGGTAGGTGGAGGAAAAAGAAAACATTGAATTAAAGCTGTCAATGGGATCTTTAGTGATTTTTTTTTTTAACTCCTTTAAAAGATGTGCCATTTAAGTAAAGAGTTTATAAAACTCAATTTAGTTGGTGGTTCTCCATTTTAAAAATAAAAAGATTTGGACAAATTTAGAACAACTTTTAAATAAAAGTTTGAATCAATTTCAGACAGATTTACATGTCAATAATTGAAAATATTTCCCTATTACAGTATAAATTTGAAAATTTTTAATCAAGAAAATAGAAACTGCTCTTGGTTTATAAAAATGGGGCAGTGTTGTAGTAGCAGTCTTAAGTAAGATTAAAGAATAATTTTAAAAGAATGAGTAATATTGTAAAGTCAGTATAGTACATATATTAGCAGAAGTTACAATGTTGCATTAAAAATATTTGTTGCCTAATGACATCATTAATAGAAGATAGCTGACAGTGAAACCCATGTGCTATGTGCACCAGACATTGTGTAAAACAACTTTGGATTTCGATTTTACCATCACATAAAAGTACTAAACATCTGTTTTAAATCTAGGTAAAGTTTTCCATAATTCATGCATGAAAGAACAACAAAATGTAATTCATAACCGTGTGTTTCTGTACTTGTGACTGCAATAGCTGGATGTGCAGCTCCACCTTTGGGCTCAGTGGGTCTCCTGGTGCAGCTCCCCCTCGGGGCTCAGTAGGTCTCCTGGTGCAGCTCCACCAGTGAGGCCAAGCCAAGAATTGAAAATATATATTTTAAAATCTGACAATAAATGTGCCACAGCCAGGTTTTCTGAGGCACAACTAGACTTTCTGTTCTGGCTACACAAGTGTTTTTTTTTTTACAGAATTTCAAACCAAGAATACGTTTGACTTTTTTTAGTAGTCTTAAGTTAGGGTAAACAAGGTAAAAAAAAAAAAACAAGCAAACAAAAAAATGGTTTCTTTTGTGATCTTAGTAAAGTACATATAGAAGCTTCATTCAATAAAATATTTCCAAAATGACATCATTAATAGTAGATGGCTGACATTGACAGTCATTTCATAAAAAAAAAAAAAAACTCAT